TCGTGAAAAGTTTGGCCTAAATTTTTCAATTTAATCGTTTGTAATCCATGTTAATCTTCTCCATCCTTAACCGTACTCTTTTCTTTATGGTTTATTATTATCTCTTTGGCTCTTTTCTATCTTACTAAAGTACTATTTTCTGGTTTTCTCCATTTTACAGGCAATTTCGTACGTGGCTAAAATAACTCAAAATACCGTGACTGAGCTCCTTTAAGGAATGGACAACCTTATCAGTGCACCAGATAAGCCCTAATCTCCCCTGAAAAATGTGAAGCAGCGGGTGTGGGTAATACAATAATAATCATTGATAACAGTGATTGCAACGCTGCGGTTCACTTACAGCGATCGCAGATTGTTCAGAGAAGAGAATACTGCTTCAGGAAGAAACGTTAAAGCGTTCGAGTCCAAAAACCTGGGAGGCATTTTATAAGTAAATGATAATGGCGTAACAATTGCATGCGATAAGGTAAAGAGATGCATTGTGAAGCGCCAAATCTTAAATAAGTTAAAGGGCTGGGTGTACGTTGTTATAGCCGACTTAAAAATTGCGAGAGAGAAAAACAAATGGATAAGTGATTTCATTAAACAGGAAACGTTAACTGATCTAGCTGTTGATGAGGCAGAGATAACAATTCTAAAGATGAATCAAAGGGATCCTAGACAAATTTCTGGGCATACCATCATGAAAATGAAGGTAATTTTTCAGGTTCGGTCTATGTTTCATTTTTATTACTTTATTATTATTTTATTTTAATATATATGTATACATTTTTTATTTATCTATCGAAAATGCGACGGTACGGTACTGAACAGCCAAGCGACAGAAGTACAAATTGGGACTTACAGCCATTCCAGTTTTCTCACGGTGGCAAACACTCCATCGGGAAGGAATTCAATAGCGTTTGAGGACAATCTCCTGTAAAAAAAAAATTCAACGAGAACTGAAACTATTAATCAAATTAAAGTACTGCACTCGGTAAACTCAGGCCAGGGTTTCTAGGATTTTCTATTGAATAGTTTAACACACACTGCAGTAGGTCGAAGGAATGTGTTGACAGGCAAAATTCAACGTTAGGAATAAATTGTGACTATTGTCAATGTTCCCTTGTGGTTGATAGCCTTTGCATACCACCAGAAACTTTTCAACTTGTTTGAATGGGGACACCGAAAGCTATTTGTTCCTTATCTATTAGGCCTTGCAATGTGTCGAGTAGAAGCCTGTTAACTTACATCTCTCGCAGGTTGGTCAGCTTGGAGAAAACTTTATTAGGTAGAAATCTTATAGCATTTGATGATAAACTCCTGTGAACATGTGACATTTATTTTGGTAAGCAAAGCTTTGAAACCTTCCGTAAATGTTCAAGTTATAATAAATCGTTTTGGCGCTAGCAAGCAAAACGTATTTTTACAGTACATTGTACCAATGATCCGATGTCTCACTAGTACTACTTTCGGTAATTACATAATTGCCTTTAAGGAACTTATACAGATTCAGATTCAGATTCTTATTGTTTTGCACTATTTACAAAAAATATAACTTGACAGTATTTACAGAAATTACATTGATCAAAAGAGAAAAGAAATATAACAATAAATAGCCAAAATGAAATGTGCTTAGTGACCAAAGTAGCATAGGCTTTCGTGTTTGTCACTGACACGTACAAACAATTGACAGGACATATCAATTATATTAATATCAAAAAAGTACAAAAGGAAATAATATATATATATGAACAATAGACGCGTAAAAGGATGGCAGAACGTAGATAAGCTATATGCAGAATATAAGCGGGCTACACAGAAGAATAGGATTGATTGTTAAAAGGTAAAGCAGTTTTTTAAAGTTTGTTGAATAGTTTCCCAAAGTTTAGATGAAAAAAAAAGCGAAAGTGGAGGTCCTATAGTTATTATTTGCTTTTGGCCTATGAAAATTTAATTTGGAAGCAAATCTAGTATTGTGGATATGTATACCTAAGAAGCTTGATTTAGTTTCGTTTCCAAACTAATGAGCCCATAACGTAATGGGTAGAGTTATAAGTGAGTGGGTTTTGAAACCAAAATTTAATCGTTCATTAAACTTTGGTAGATACTATATATTTCAACACAACGACACAGCGGTTGAGTTTTTGGTTGTCTGTTTGAGGACGCAAGAAGTTACTTGACAACTAGTCTTGAATCGTTGGAAACCTGTATAGAGTTTTCACGTGACGTCATCAAACCAGCACATTTTGAGTTATGGCGGCGCGTGACATATAGTAAGGATCACGTTTGTTAAAAAAATACACATTTATCTCGTGATTTTTAGCTGTTTGAGAAGTTAAAGTGAGAGGAAAATTGTTTATGTAAGTGTTTGTTTGTGAAGTACAGATAATCAGTGGCCTAGATGACTAAAGTAAAGTCCAGATATGTTTACTAATTTTCCGGTCGCCATGTTGATGTACCACGGACACATTACACTTACAGAAGTCGCAGATCTGTCAGGTTGTCAAACATTTCAGCATACAGGAATGTAATCGCGTTTGAGGACAAATCCCTATGAAAACGCATTGTGCAAATTTTAGTGTCTAAATCGTCTACATGGTTTTCTGTTATCTCTGTAAAGCTTGATACTAGTGTCAAACATTTCTTCGATCCGATCCTATTGTTTTTACCTTTAGAGCTCCTGCTTAAGCCACGCTCATCCAAGTTTACCGAGTGTCTTACCAAAAAATAGGTCAGGTTATATCTGGAATGGTTGTGGCGCCACTTCGCACGGCAAAACGTGCCGCAAAAATTTCTTTCTTGAAGCTTCGTGTGAAAGTCGTGTCCTAAAAACATTTGCAAACCGCAAAGGCGACGGCAACAAGGGTGCAGAGCAGAATAATGACTCTCTGGCGTTAGCTATGCATGTTTATAGATTTTAAAGTCGTCTTCTGCAAATCGAGAGCAACGTGAAATGACAGGTTTCTGAGAATTTTAGGGATGTAAGTCACGAAGACTAACGTTTTAGCATTACTGGAGTAAACACGTTTTTTTTTATGTTCTTTCCAAAGTGACGTCATAAGACAACAATCTCAAAGCGCTCGGTCAACCTGGCAGGATTTCAGGGGCAAAGAACGTCGAAATCCTCAAAAGTGAATAATCTATTGTTTATACAGTTTCCAAAACCGTAAACTCTCCGAGGGTGATATACACATTTCATTTGCAAGCGCTTTCGTAATTTTCAAATACGTCATATAATAAATGAGTTATTGTATAAACCCTCGCACAATTAGGTACCGTAATTTAGATAAAGGTGTTTTCACTTCGGTGATTCAGAAGTCATCGTTGTCAGATTACACGTACGCAAATAAAACTGAAAAAAGAACAACAAAAGAAACAATGACGGGCGAGATGATTATGATTAGGACATAAAATCGATCAAAATCAATAAAATTCATCTAATCATCCACCCAATTCAGAAATTTAATAAAGATTATTTATCGATTGACGAAATTATGAACTCTCGACACGTCACGCTCGACTCACCTCGACTCTCGACATGTCACGCTCGACTCTCGACAATTACCCAGGAAGAAAAAAAGTCTTCAAATTGCACTTTTTGAGGGGATTTTCAAATATCAATCGAGGTGTAATCCTTAAATGTAGTCGCATTCTTTCGATTACCTATATTAATTATTCTTCATTGATTATGAGTTATTGTAGTTTAAAGTGAACATTGCAAAAATTCCTCATCAGAAAATCTCACAGCGACTCCATTACTTTTGGCGCGCAGTTAATAACGTCTACCGGTAATGTTAAATTGGCGCAACAGCAAGAAAGGAAATTTCCTCCCACAATTTTCCATCCAGAGGAACATCGAGGACCACAATCTTAAAAAAAAAAACAAGTAGAGTGTCTTATTGGAACCAGAACTTGCTTATGTGATACGACCCAATTTTAACTCACAAGCAAAACAAAACAGTGTTCTCTTACAAGATACCTTACCGTTGAAAATAACTGAGAACTCTTTCATATCAGCTGCATACTTGCCAGTAGCCACACAAGTGTAGTTACCTTCTTGATGCAATCGGATGGTTATATCAGTGTTTGTTGTATTTATTATTACAGTGGAGTTTCTTGTCAGTGCTGTGTACACGGGAGGAGTTCCTTTGGTTGAACACACGGACAGCTCGATGCCCGGCAATGTTCGTGCAACAAGATATGGTAATGTCACCTTGGGATGAACTAGTCAAAAAATAGAAAACTTGTTAATTATCAAGTTGAAGTGAAGGAAATAGGTTACTTGAAAAAATAGAAAAAATATTCACTTCTCTATCGAGTTATAGAGGCGCAATTTTGGAGAACGAGAAATGCTGGGGGAACACGAGCGGCGTAGGCGAGTGTTCCCACAGATTTATCTAAAAATGATAAACTGAGTTATATTTCTTCTAGAAAACAGTGCGAGAAAAAGAGGGGATAATGACTGGTTTATTTTGATTGCCAAAAAGTATTTTCCGTTTGCTCGCACTATCACTACGCAATAGCTCTTGATGGTTCTGTGCGTCTATCGGGTTTTAGTATAAATCTACTAGCGTTCTATCACGAATGCNTGTTTAAAAATTACTTATAACTGAGCATTGAGCTTGTATTTGTACTGTTAAATGAGATTCCATCACGCTCATCCAAATCCTTGATACTAGAAAAGGAAAATGACTGCAGGAATCATTACTGCTATTCGAGTAACTGGGGTTTAGCTGTTTTATACTTACAGCCTATTCAGAAGTGTCAGGTTGTTAAACACTCCATCAGGAAGAAACTGGATATTGTTTTTATTCAAAACACTGTCAAATTAAACCGTTTAAGTAAATTCATTGTTAATATGCCATTGTACGGGAAACACCCCATTCAGTAATTAATGATAACGGGTATTTCTTTTCTTTAAAATAATCACTGGTCCGTGTTATAGTAAAACCTAAATCATGCCGTTGGCTTTATCCTAATAAGGATCTCAACAGAGTAATTTTGCCTTGAATTGGAAACGTATTGAATACATTGAATAACGATAATGACGGTCAGTAAATGAAATGTGTTCAACGGTCAGCTAGTTTGCCAATACTGGCAAATGCCGTCTCAAAACAGAATGCACAATGAGAAACGAGTGTAGGAAATACACTAGGGAATGCAACAGAGATCGCACTAACATCGTACAAGGGAATGTACAAGGAAACTCATTGGGGAACGCAAAAGGAAAGGCCTGGAAAGCAAAGAAGAAATACGGGGGAACGGGGGCGTTGTAAGCGATATCTTGATGTACATGCACTTACAGATATAGTAGCATTTTTTGTGAGGCAAACACTTTGCCAGGTAGATATTTTATAGCGTTTTCATATAAATGCCTGTGAAGGGAAACAACTGATTTTGTTATAAAACGGGCCCATTCATTTATATTTTTATTAACAAGACACGTTATTGTGCTAAACCTAGAAATTTTTTCTTTTCAAACCCGTCAATAGAAAAAATATTTCTCATATATGACTAAAGAAAAAAATGCCGTTTGTTCGGCTTTGTTCGACTGTATTGAACCTGTAGTACCTACGTACCAAAAACCAGTTGCTCAGAGCTACCTCACGGTTTGCTCATCGTGAAAAGTTTGGCCTAAATTTTTCAATTTAATCGTTTGTAATCCATGTTAATCTTCTCCATCCTTAACCGTACTCTTTTCTTTATGGTTTATTATTATCTCTTTGGCTCTTTTCTATCTTACTAAAGTACTATTTTCTGGTTTTCTCCATTTTACAGGCAATTTCGTACGTGGCTAAAATAACTCAAAATACCGTGACTGAGCTCCTTTAAGGAATGGACAACCTTATCAGTGCACCAGATAAGCCCTAATCTCCCCTGAAAAATGTGAAGCAGCGGGTGTGGGTAATACAATAATAATCATTGATAACAGTGATTGCAACGCTGCGGTTCACTTACAGCGATCGCAGATTGTTCAGAGAAGAGAATACTGCTTCAGGAAGAAACGTTAAAGCGTTCGAGTCCAAAAACCTGGGAGGCATTTTATAAGTAAATGATAATGGCGTAACAATTGCATGCGATAAGGTAAAGAGATGCATTGTGAAGCGCCAAATCTTAAATAAGTTAAAGGGCTGGGTGTACGTTGTTATAGCCGACTTAAAAATTGCGAGAGAGAAAAACAAATGGATAAGTGATTTCATTAAACAGGAAACGTTAACTGATCTAGCTGTTGATGAGGCAGAGATAACAATTCTAAAGATGAATCAAAGGGATCCTAGACAAATTTCTGGGCATACCATCATGAAAATGAAGGTAATTTTTCAGGTTCGGTCTATGTTTCATTTTTATTACTTTATTATTATTTTATTTTAATATATATGTATACATTTTTTATTTATCTATCGAAAATGCGACGGTACGGTACTGAACAGCCAAGCGACAGAAGTACAAATTGGGACTTACAGCCATTCCAGTTTTCTCACGGTGGCAAACACTCCATCGGGAAGGAATTCAATAGCGTTTGAGGACAATCTCCTGTAAAAAAAAAATTCAACGAGAACTGAAACTATTAATCAAATTAAAGTACTGCACTCGGTAAACTCAGGCCAGGGTTTCTAGGATTTTCTATTGAATAGTTTAACACACACTGCAGTAGGTCGAAGGAATGTGTTGACAGGCAAAATTCAACGTTAGGAATAAATTGTGACTATTGTCAATGTTCCCTTGTGGTTGATAGCCTTTGCATACCACCAGAAACTTTTCAACTTGTTTGAATGGGGACACCGAAAGCTATTTGTTCCTTATCTATTAGGCCTTGCAATGTGTCGAGTAGAAGCCTGTTAACTTACATCTCTCGCAGGTTGGTCAGCTTGGAGAAAACTTTATTAGGTAGAAATCTTATAGCATTTGATGATAAACTCCTGTGAACATGTGACATTTATTTTGGTAAGCAAAGCTTTGAAACCTTCCGTAAATGTTCAAGTTATAATAAATCGTTTTGGCGCTAGCAAGCAAAACGTATTTTTACAGTACATTGTACCAATGATCCGATGTCTCACTAGTACTACTTTCGGTAATTACATAATTGCCTTTAAGGAACTTATACAGATTCAGATTCAGATTCTTATTGTTTTGCACTATTTACAAAAAATATAACTTGACAGTATTTACAGAAATTACATTGATCAAAAGAGAAAAGAAATATAACAATAAATAGCCAAAATGAAATGTGCTTAGTGACCAAAGTAGCATAGGCTTTCGTGTTTGTCACTGACACGTACAAACAATTGACAGGACATATCAATTATATTAATATCAAAAAAGTACAAAAGGAAATAATATATATATATGAACAATAGACGCGTAAAAGGATGGCAGAACGTAGATAAGCTATATGCAGAATATAAGCGGGCTACACAGAAGAATAGGATTGATTGTTAAAAGGTAAAGCAGTTTTTTAAAGTTTGTTGAATAGTTTCCCAAAGTTTAGATGAAAAAAAAAGCGAAAGTGGAGGTCCTATAGTTATTATTTGCTTTTGGCCTATGAAAATTTAATTTGGAAGCAAATCTAGTATTGTGGATATGTATACCTAAGAAGCTTGATTTAGTTTCGTTTCCAAACTAATGAGCCCATAACGTAATGGGTAGAGTTATAAGTGAGTGGGTTTTGAAACCAAAATTTAATCGTTCATTAAACTTTGGTAGATACTATATATTTCAACACAACGACACAGCGGTTGAGTTTTTGGTTGTCTGTTTGAGGACGCAAGAAGTTACTTGACAACTAGTCTTGAATCGTTGGAAACCTGTATAGAGTTTTCACGTGACGTCATCAAACCAGCACATTTTGAGTTATGGCGGCGCGTGACATATAGTAAGGATCACGTTTGTTAAAAAAATACACATTTATCTCGTGATTTTTAGCTGTTTGAGAAGTTAAAGTGAGAGGAAAATTGTTTATGTAAGTGTTTGTTTGTGAAGTACAGATAATCAGTGGCCTAGATGACTAAAGTAAAGTCCAGATATGTTTACTAATTTTCCGGTCGCCATGTTGATGTACCACGGACACATTACACTTACAGAAGTCGCAGATCTGTCAGGTTGTCAAACATTTCAGCATACAGGAATGTAATCGCGTTTGAGGACAAATCCCTATGAAAACGCATTGTGCAAATTTTAGTGTCTAAATCGTCTACATGGTTTTCTGTTATCTCTGTAAAGCTTGATACTAGTGTCAAACATTTCTTCGATCCGATCCTATTGTTTTTACCTTTAGAGCTCCTGCTTAAGCCACGCTCATCCAAGTTTACCGAGTGTCTTACCAAAAAATAGGTCAGGTTATATCTGGAATGGTTGTGGCGCCACTTCGCACGGCAAAACGTGCCGCAAAAATTTCTTTCTTGAAGCTTCGTGTGAAAGTCGTGTCCTAAAAACATTTGCAAACCGCAAAGGCGACGGCAACAAGGGTGCAGAGCAGAATAATGACTCTCTGGCGTTAGCTATGCATGTTTATAGATTTTAAAGTCGTCTTCTGCAAATCGAGAGCAACGTGAAATGACAGGTTTCTGAGAATTTTAGGGATGTAAGTCACGAAGACTAACGTTTTAGCATTACTGGAGTAAACACGTTTTTTTTTATGTTCTTTCCAAAGTGACGTCATAAGACAACAATCTCAAAGCGCTCGGTCAACCTGGCAGGATTTCAGGGGCAAAGAACGTCGAAATCCTCAAAAGTGAATAATCTATTGTTTATACAGTTTCCAAAACCGTAAACTCTCCGAGGGTGATATACACATTTCATTTGCAAGCGCTTTCGTAATTTTCAAATACGTCATATAATAAATGAGTTATTGTATAAACCCTCGCACAATTAGGTACCGTAATTTAGATAAAGGTGTTTTCACTTCGGTGATTCAGAAGTCATCGTTGTCAGATTACACGTACGCAAATAAAACTGAAAAAAGAACAACAAAAGAAACAATGACGGGCGAGATGATTATGATTAGGACATAAAATCGATCAAAATCAATAAAATTCATCTAATCATCCACCCAATTCAGAAATTTAATAAAGATTATTTATCGATTGACGAAATTATGAACTCTCGACACGTCACGCTCGACTCACCTCGACTCTCGACATGTCACGCTCGACTCTCGACAATTACCCAGGAAGAAAAAAAGTCTTCAAATTGCACTTTTTGAGGGGATTTTCAAATATCAATCGAGGTGTAATCCTTAAATGTAGTCGCATTCTTTCGATTACCTATATTAATTATTCTTCATTGATTATGAGTTATTGTAGTTTAAAGTGAACATTGCAAAAATTCCTCATCAGAAAATCTCACAGCGACTCCATTACTTTTGGCGCGCAGTTAATAACGTCTACCGGTAATGTTAAATTGGCGCAACAGCAAGAAAGGAAATTTCCTCCCACAATTTTCCATCCAGAGGAACATCGAGGACCACAATCTTAAAAAAAAAAACAAGTAGAGTGTCTTATTGGAACCAGAACTTGCTTATGTGATACGACCCAATTTTAACTCACAAGCAAAACAAAACAGTGTTCTCTTACAAGATACCTTACCGTTGAAAATAACTGAGAACTCTTTCATATCAGCTGCATACTTGCCAGTAGCCACACAAGTGTAGTTACCTTCTTGATGCAATCGGATGGTTATATCAGTGTTTGTTGTATTTATTATTACAGTGGAGTTTCTTGTCAGTGCTGTGTACACGGGAGGAGTTCCTTTGGTTGAACACACGGACAGCTCGATGCCCGGCAATGTTCGTGCAACAAGATATGGTAATGTCACCTTGGGATGAACTAGTCAAAAAATAGAAAACTTGTTAATTATCAAGTTGAAGTGAAGGAAATAGGTTACTTGAAAAAATAGAAAAAATATTCACTTCTCTATCGAGTTATAGAGGCGCAATTTTGGAGAACGAGAAATGCTGGGGGAACACGAGCGGCGTAGGCGAGTGTTCCCACAGATTTATCTAAAAATGATAAACTGAGTTATATTTCTTCTAGAAAACAGTGCGAGAAAAAGAGGGGATAATGACTGGTTTATTTTGATTGCCAAAAAGTATTTTCCGTTTGCTCGCACTATCACTACGCAATAGCTCTTGATGGTTCTGTGCGTCTATCGGGTTTTAGTATAAATCTACTAGCGTTCTATCACGAATGCAAGAAAAATTAATTACTGTACAACTGTAACTGTAAGTTACAACTGGGTTGACAAGTCAAAATTTATTTTCAAGTTTGATTAGTTCTCGTATTAAACTGTATGGAATGCACTGAACTGCTCGGGCCCTGTTTAAATGTAAATGTACACGTACAGTAAACACATAATAAACTCAATTTGTTCTGCCTGCAGCATCAAGATTTGCTACCAGTTATGAAACCATTAATACTATCTCCTTAGCAGAAATCAAACGATATACTTGCAGTAACTCACAATTATGTCGGTTTGCTCTTCCAGGTTTCCAGTAGCTTCAATCTCCTTACCTTTTTTTTTTTTAATCGAGATCAAGTGTTTGGTCTTCCTCTTGTCTCAGGGTTGAACTGAAACAACTTCCCCGTTGCCTTATATATACTGTGAAAGACCTGAAGCACTCACTATACGTACCGAAAGGGACTGTAGTGAAAAATATTGAAAATCCTCTAAGTTGTACAATGTCGTCTGAATGAAATGTTAACACCACTTGGTCTCCAGTTACTTCAATGCTCTCTCCAGTCTTTTCGCCACAGTAAACGTCAAATGTGTGACTTCCGCCATCGGTAATTTTTAAATAGTCATAGCTATCGGAAAAACACGAACACATATTTTTTTACACCCATTGAACATAAAATGTTAGTCTACTGCAGCTTGGATCTAGTTTGGAAATGAACTACTTGCCCATTTGATATACCAGTGTTATATTAAATACATGTAAATAGCCCTGTTTTAGCTTGATTGCACGCTTAAAGAAATATTGACTACTACAGACACGAGATCTATTCACCGTCTCCGGCTACAGAATTCCAATTCTTGTAGGAAAGGTTCAGAGCCACTTTAAACATTCGAAAAAAAATAAAGGCAATCATATGAATGCGAGTGCAGTTACGTATGATGTTTGAAAATTCTCACAAAATTGCACGAGCCTTTAGGCGAGTAAAATTTGAAAAGATTTTCAAATACCACGAGTAGTGTAAATCCTTCATCAATATTTGCTTGAGCTTTCCTAAGATTGCTCGTGTATTATACGACTGAGAAAATTTGGAATGTGTGAGCGTTAATTTGCACTGCAGTACAAATTTAAAAAACAAATTAACCATAACTTGATCTGCTCTCTTCCAATCACAATGAAAAAGTAGTTGAATTCCAAAATTGATAACTACAAATCGATGATCAAAATTGGGGTCAACGGAGTTGTTTTTGAGTTACCAGCACGAAATTCATAATGAAGGGTGTTTTAACCGGAATATGTTGTTAAAAAGTTACCTTGACTTTTTAACTAATAGTCGGTAGTAGTTATCATATCTCTTGGCGCCAATTTACCATGCTTGTTGGCATTATAATAATAATAATAATAATAATAATAATAATAATAATAATAATAATAATTTCTTGGCTTCCCTAGGCAACTTGTTGTTGCCCGGAGCCAATGACGAAACCAGCTTCAATATCATCAATAGCTGTGCGAATCTTTAATAATAATAATA